TATCAGCTAATTGGCTCTGGAGAGTTGAGCTCTCAATGTCTGCAGAAATTCGCTTCATGACTAATGTTCCATCACCTAATGGAATAAAGCAGTGGTGAGATCGAGTTCCTGTTAAAGTTGTGGAGAGAGCAAATCTTTCGTTTAATTTAAATTTTTCATCATTCTCTGAGACATCTTTCTTGGTCACATGCAGAAACTTAATTCCAGGTATATTAGCCGAAGCCCACTCAAACATGTCTAATGGTGTGAGTATGTGGCCTGATGTGGTGGCCTGGAGGCTAGCATTTGCAACAAGTCTTTTTACAGTGCCTCCAATCCCATCACATGGACTTTTGCCATGACTAGTTGCAAAGAAGTGCCACTCTGCAGCCAGCCCAAAGTCGTCTTTGTGGTGCCGTAGATTTGAAAAATTTTTACAGTTTTTGTATTGGGAAGCTGCCCCATCACTAAAGTATATCGCTTTGGAAATGGATGGGAGCACAGTCCTGAGATGATTAAGCATTCTTGAAATGAAGGCATGAACAGTGCGAGTATCATGTCGGAGGCAGTCGGATATAATGCATATACTAAGTGACTTTAAGTGTTCATTTCTACTTGCTTGATCTGAATTCTTGTAATATACCACAAATGGATGCAGAGTGGCTTGGGCATTGTTCCAATGAAACCCTTGTACTGCATCTTGTACTACAAAGCTATAATTTTCTGCAAAGTCCAGTAATATTAAGACCTCATCCTCTGACAAATTATTCTTCAGTTCAGTGAGATATTTGGCCTGAGCTTTAGAGATGAAATGGTGATCTCTAAGATTATCAAAAGCATCACAAACCTTAGAAATGTAATTTTCAATAGATAAGGTGAAGCACACAAGTTCGCTACGGTCTGTATGACCCCACTGTTTGAATGATATTTCATCATCCAAATCCAAGTCTGCCTCAAGAAACAAATTTGTTAAATATGTCTGTAGAGCATCTTTCCCTGGGCAGTCATCACAGAGATGCAACATGCAGTTTCTGCTCTCACAGCTGCATACCATTTTTGCCAGCATATCCTTATAGTTTTCAGAACCAGGTAAAGCAGCTGTCAAGAGTTTTACATTTTGATGTATTTGACAAACACAAACTGAGTGCATACCAGAGGCTGTTACTGGCCTGCACCATGATGGGCGCAGTTCACAAAATTTTGAAAAACCCACCGAATCATTTGGATGCTTCTTTTTGTACTCAAGGTAGAGTTCCTTCAGATTAACTAATATGAGTCGCTTTTGCTGGTAAACCTTTTCATTAGATGTCTTGATAGCCACACAGTCTTTTTTGCCAGGGCACATGCGAGTAAATTCATCATCCTGGTAATGTGTAGTGATCCTCTGGACAATATCAGCAGAAAGTGCCCTGCCCTTTTTTGCTACCACATCAGCCAG